AAAAAAAAAAAAAACATTACATTACCTTACAAATGTCTTTTCCGTATTAGGACAAATAGGACTTGACTGGAGGGAACTAAAGGCAACATTGAATCCCACCTTTGAATGGAAAAAAGCGGTGCAAGCAGCTCTGGATACAGAAGACTCTTTAGAATCAGTATGGATATATATAGTCCTAACACTTTGAGATAAAAATTTTCAGTCAAACTACACTGAATGTATCGCTAATACTATTTTAATGGATCTGATAGCAATTTCATTTTCTCACTGGATGGAAAGGTTCTGATGAAATTAAAATGAATAACTAAATAACGTTATGACGACAAGAAATGTGTGAATGACCGCTCATTGATCGTCTAAGGTGCGGAAAAACGGGCAACAAAAAATGAAACTTGTCATGCAACAATGCTGCAAAAGGAGTTGAATAGCGATGTTGAGCGTTTTACCAACCCTATCAAACCTGTCTTACAACAAATCAGGTTTTCAGAACAAGTTTGAACGTAGGTGGTAAAACCGGCGTGCAACATGGCTTTTTAAATTGTTCTGCAGCAATGTTGCAAAACAATTCCACGTTTTTGTTGCCCGTTTTACCGAAGCTTATTATAAGCAATACCACGCAAAACGAAATTATTAATAATGCTTGTAGACAATTAATATAAAATAAATAAAATCATATTGTTAAATCCGGTTAAACATAACGGCTACTCCCAATTTATCGTAAAATACAATAATATATAAAAACTAATTAAATCCCACCTTGTATCGGTGCAATAAACCGATCGATTTCATTTGACTCTCAATTAAAGACCGCTTAGTTCTATCAAGGTTACATAAAAATCTCCGGGCCTCTTATTATCAAACAATACATAACCTAGTAAGCCTTATGTTGCATGACAAAAACATAGGAGAATAATATTAATTAAAATTACTCTGCTTGTATTCAGCTACAAGCGTAACAGACAATCTCTTTATACTATTTGACCAGAGTCCGCCTATTTCCAGCCAGGTAGTTGTACTGGGTATTTATTTCGTTCAAGAAATTTTAAGGACGGTTTCACTTGTGTTGCTTTGCAGGCTATAGATCAGGGCCGCATCTACGCTCTACGATATGAGATGTGTGACGACATGGCAAGATCACCAGATCTTACTGATAGAGATCCTCGAAGAAAAATGTGGAACTTTCTCTCTCCTATCGCCTTGTTTGCGTCTAAGGGGAATAAAAACGGTAAAAATGAGCTTGTTCCGGTGGCCATTCAAATGGATTATAAACCAGGTAAAATGCTAAATACATGTGCCGGACTGACTGAGATAGTTATCTGCCAAAAATTTTCGTCAATACGGGGAAGGGATACTTTAACAGTATTTTACACCAGTTTTAAAATTATTTCTCCAAACTGGTCTTAACTAGGCTTTTTCGCTGAAGTTTTACAAAGTTATATAATGTGGTTGAAATTGCCGCGCTTGCGTGTGTACTACGTAATATTATACAAGATGGGTTTGGCTCAGTGATCAGAGGCCAGGAGAGCTACCAGTTATACCTGTCACTTTTGTATAGGAAACTCAAACAGTAGACTCTAAACCTGATTTCACTGTAAACAATATTAATTCCTCACTCTCTTCCAATAGTTTTTTTTTTTTTTACCATGTTGTTTTAGTTTTCAAGGACCACTCAGTGAATGTCCGTCGAAAAACCCGGATAAAAATTAGACTTGGGAATCTGGAAAGAGTAACTTCGGAAATAATAATAATAATAATAATAATAATAATAATAATAATAATAATAATAATAATACATTTCATTTCAATAATAAAAAAAAACTGTCTTGGAGATTTTAAGTTTTCAAAGAAAGTTGACGATTTTTGTTTTTTTATCATTATTATTATTACTTTATTTTTCTATATGTATTTCATTCCTTTGTGTACAATAGTCCGATTTAATGGCTCCTTCAACAACAATAATAATAATAATAATAATAATAATAATAATAATAATAATAGTAATAATTATAAGAAAAGAATATACAGTTCCGCAAAGTCGATAAATCTTAATAACGGCGGTAAATATGTAGACGAGTCTAGGAGATTCATTTTACATCTTTATTTATCTTTTTTGCAATTTGACAGTATGCCGGGTCAACTTATAGTATTAACATTGTATTCTTTAGATTCAGCCGTGTACACTCCTGAAGATGACGGCAACTGGATGCTGGCTAAGCTTAATGTCCAAATCACAGATCTCGGCTACGCACAAATCGTGGAGCACCTCGCAAAGGTGATGATATGAAACTGTTGTACATATTTCATAATTGCCTGTTTCTAAGACTCGTACAATAATAATAATGATACTAAATGATACTGATAATGAATGTTACTGATAATTATAATAATATACGCTATATTGCTTGAATTTTTTCTTTTTAAAGATTCATTATCTGATGGAGCCATTTTGTGTCATCCTAAAACGGACCTTTTCATCCCAGCATCCTCTGCATCAAATACTCAAGTTTCATTGCCGAGAAATAACTGTCCCAAACACATTTGGAACTCCAAAGCTTGTAGACGAGGCACAATTTATGGATTTGCTCTTTGCACATGGCAATACCGGCACCACAAGGCTTCTGAAAGACTCTCATAAAGTAGCCACATGGGAGGTGACAAATTTGAAAGAAGAAGTAAAGGTTTGTTCTCATACTATCTTACTTTCTTTGGTTTCATCAAACAGAGCTGTGACGTGGAATGTAGCCAAATTCAGACAATGGTAGCTTAAATGAGCAGTGTGAGCAAACACAAAAGGAGAAAAAAGAACGAAGAAGTTTAAAACTGATTGCAATCGGGGTGTTAAAAAACTAGTTTTCCTCGCTCTAAAGGTTTTTCATATGTGTTGTTTATAAGTGTCGGTGAATAATTATAATGCTTGGGAGGCACGAAGCGCGCGCTAGCGGAGCACTACGGGTAAGTAAATCTACCCATCCCAGGACATTTGGTAATCACATGACCGTACACCGAACGAACGAACGACCGTCCGTCCGCACCGCAGGCATACCAATGTTTAATCTCACACTTTCTGGCAAGTTTGGGAGCACAGGACAACTGATATTGTACACATATTGCACATCAATTTTGTGATCAATTGGCAGCTGTCAAAACAGGATATCCACTGACTAGTATCACCTGACCGTATCGCGGGCTCAGGTGTCCACCCATGAACATGAGTTATCCATTGACCGGTTACTAGTTTTCAAACGATCGCAGGCTCAAGCTTATTTCTTTTTTCAGACTCATATGAAATATGTTGTGTTTATGTGCCGCACAATTAAAAGTTTGATTTCAAACTGATCTCGGACGTGAAAATTCAGCCAGCTATTACAGGCAGGGAGAACAGTTGCTTTTGACTTTTCTCACCATGGTCTTGCGTTGGTCACGCTCTACGCCTAATTTTTATACCCTGATTGGTCAAAATTTGACAGGTGAGTTCATGTGGAAAATTTATGCAGCATCTTGAATCTTGTTTACTTTGACAGCTGAAGCTGACAGAGTTTTGTGTCAACTTGTGATGTTTTGAAACGTCTTTTTCTACTGGATGTACAAAATGAAATTCAGCTGCAATCAAGAGTCTACTGTTATTCATGGCTAGTTTGTTTATTGGGTTTTTGGTTGAGAAATACGTCGCTTGTCAAAGTTGGAAATCTGATTTCGGATGGCACTGTTTTCGTTTTTCACCTTGCTTGATGCGTAATAGAGGTCGTAAGAGGGTTAAAAAGTCTGAAGCGATTCTGGCCTTACTTGATAGCTTCCGGGAGCTGCATCTCGAATGGTAAGCCTGAATAATTATTGTATTTGATGTTTGTTTTTAATATCTTATTTAATGAAGTCGAGCGTAGTTTATGCATCTATTTAGTTTATGCGCGTTTGTGAGACTTGAGACAATGATCTGACCGAGATCAGGTTTGATATAAGCTAACAGAACTTTAAAAAGCCTTTAGAAATTTTCTCACCGCAAATAGAAAGAAAAAGTTCCAAAGAGTATTTCATTAAAATTCTGGCTGTAAAATAAAACTTTGAGCGATTTTCTTGGCTCGAGTTCATCTTTGAAAAAAGAAAACACCGGGAAGCGGGCTTAAAACATAAAGTTAAGCTTTAAACTTGAAGACTCAGGATTTTTAGAGACACTTAAATACTTGTCTTCGTGAATGAAAATTGTTGTCTCTGTATATGTTTCACCGAATTATATTTCATTATGGATTGTCAGTAGTCTCTCTTGCAATTATAATCGCTGTGCCGTTTGTTTTCAGTCCTTCATGAACATCGATTGCAGGAGTTAACTCAAAACGCCGCGCGTAACGCTTTTGAAGTTGGCACATCGTTATAAAACCACTAAATAAAAAATAAACTCCTTATTATGTTGAAGCGTAATTCTATTAATGTTCCTTCAACACTCCACAGCTCGCAACCGGCTGGCCGTATAGGTGATTTTGGAAAGTTTTTCTTAGCGGTTTCGCTAAAAGCCCACGCATTCTTAGATCGTCCTGAATATTGAATGAGCGCAATTTGTATTTCAAAATTGTGAAATACTGCTGTCCGAGGTCTGTATGATAAAAATAGTGCCTCATAGTACTATTTCACCTCAGATGGGATGTATAAAAAGTATAATAGGTTGGTTTACGCGCCCCCAGATTTTGTAAAGTAAACTTGTTGAACGCAAAAAATTCGGCCTGATTTGTTTCCCAAGAATTTGTTTTCCAGGCCTAATCTACTGTGATCAAGAGCCATTATGTCTCTTAAATGTGATCGAAGATGGTTCCTATTTTTTGGGTGTACATAGAAGGCTATCAACTCGATGTCAGATTTGGTTCACTCTTGGACTATTTGCAAATTATTTTTCTCTAAATTAAAGTAACTTAGCCCCTCCCTCGAAAGTCATATGAATGTGCTCTAAAGTTTACTGATTTGTGAAATACAAGTTTATTGTTTGATTTAATAAACTTATCAATGAGAGCTTCGCTTTTAGCCCAGGCTAAATCCATTTATTATGATACGAAGCCGAATTCAATAATTGTTTTATTATTCATTCAAAATAATTCCTAGTTTAAAAACAAGCTAAAACCCGCTTACCTACATTAATGTTAAGTTCATCTCGATAGTGCATGTGTGTGTCGAGAAGTTTAGGAGATAAAGGGCTGTTCAGGTTCTTCGATACTATGACATGAAGGAATACAAAACTTTGAATACAATTTTTTTCAAGGATTCATTAGTTTGAGGAAGTTACTGCATGACCAATAATAGCTTCATAATAACATAGCCAATTTTTTTTTCAGATATTATAAAGACGATAGAGCTGTCCAGGAAGACAAGGAACTCGAGGCTTTCCTCAATGAACTGTCTCTCAACGGAACTGGAGAGAATGGCGGAATTGGAAGAGTAAGTATCAGTATACCAATTAATATTAGTACCTTCATTGCGTACATTAACCCGTAAAGTGACTTTTAGAAAATCAGACAACTTTGGGTGCAATGAAAATCAAGAGTGCTAGCAGTCCCTCCAAAATGAATAGTAGTCCCTCCAAATTCCTTTGTAGTTTCATAGGGTAAGACGAACACGTACTTTTTCAACGGGTGCATTTCATTTAAGATTTGTACAACGCAGTTACTTTGAAAGTGCTAAAACTTGCACTACTTCAAATTTACAATTAATCACAATCGTTGTCCGGCCTGACGAAAAGTTTCGATCACCACGTTTTTTTGGAGACGACCGAGCCTATCCGGACGATAATAATGGAAGCCAAGCCAAAGGGAATGGTTATTTTTTAGAGCTTTCCTGGTTAACCCCTTGTTGCTCATCAGTTTTGGTAATTTAGGTGTGTTTTATTGTCTATAAACTTTACGGTTTTAGGTGCGGTTGAGTAACAAATAGATAATGATTTCTTCAAGCTTGGCGACCAAAACGTTTCCGCGAAAACTGATGTCAAATTGTCGGGTACTTCTACATTCTTTATTTAAGCCACTTTCACTTAAATAACCGACAGATACAAAAGTTCCCTGCAAGAATTGACTCCAAAGAAGAACTCTGTGATGTTGTTACCCGGATTATCTCACACCTAAGCCTGCAGCACACCGCATGCAACTACCTGCTGACAGACTATGCCGTGTACATCCCTAATCTGCCAACGAAACTGTACAATGATACCAGAGTTAAAGAGGGTGAATTTTCTGTTTACCGACTCCCAAACAGGTTTACATCTGCGGTAGGCACAGCGTTCATATCTAAGATTATTAAACTTAAATTTCATTGCCCTTATTAAAAGTTTAACTTCGAGTGGATAGTTATGACTAATAGATCCCGAAAATATAAAAGCTGAGGCTATCGTTCGACCGAAAATTTACAACCGCGGCTAAATAACCAAGTAATATTATTCACGATATGACATAATGTTGACTTTGTTGAAATTATTTTGCGCCATCTGTGCTACTCTGCGAAAAATGACTTTTGATTCTTAGGTAACATTCTTTTTTACCTGTATTTAAAAGGAGAAACTAAATGACTGGGGAATAACTAGAAAACGTACAAGCTAAATTAGCCTTCAGGCTCAAATAATGCCTTTGAAATTATCTGTGTCTATTTTTTTGTTCATTTATTAGTAAATTGACACGAAGAGCAAAATAATGATAGTCTATCCATCTATTGAAAAGTTGGTCAGCCAGGAGCTTAATGACTGTTTTTTTTTTTTTAGATTATAATTTAATGAATTAAATTTAATACCGTAACTATACGTTTTTGCTGAAGCGATTTAATTTGTTTTTTTAACTTTTCAGATTGAGGCAAGCTTCAGCAACTCGTTAGCAAGTTTCCGCTTTGATTCACTGTTTGACTACGGCGACAGTCTTGAGGACAGTAAGGCCGCTAACATTATCAACAATCACTACAGCTACTTGATGCGTGTTGTTCAGCCCAAACTGCAAGAAAGGAACGAGAAACGGAAGGACAAGGATGACCTCACATATCCCTACTTCATTCCAAGATGGATTCCGAACGGAGTTCAGACCTAGTTCATTGGGGTTGCTTTTTTTGTGTCATTCTATGGGATGTGTGTGATAACAAAGGCACGCTTAGATATTAGCCCGTTAGGAGTGCTAATGCAAAACGTAAACTAATGTGACTTTCTATTTTGTAAAGATCAAGTTTAATTAAGATTAAAACACAACACGCGCAAGATTTTGTCTTGTTTTTGTTGAGGTTAGAATGTTATTGATCCCTTCTCTCAGATACCCTACTTCTTTTGAAAAACATGCCACATAGAATTGAAATTTGAAAATGTCATCGCTACATTTAAAAATATGTTTTGGAAAAGCGCGTGGTAATGAGGGGAAACGCGCTAACCCAATTCTCCAATACTCAGTGCTATGTTATAAAATAAGAAAACGAGCAAAAAACAAAAAACCATGGATGACAAAATAAAAATAAAAGTGTGTTATGAACATTGCTGTGAAACTAGGTTAAAGTTAA